GGGAACGAGGGAGCCAGACAAGCCCCCAAAGCCTGACCATCTCCTGGAGAACCGCGGCAGGACGAGGGCTGGCGGCCGCCCCCCAGCCTCCACAGAGCCTCCCCTCCCCGAAGGGCACCCCCGAGGTGCTGCTCCCCTCGCACCCCTCCCCAGGGCTTCTGCGAGGGCCAGAGCTCGACTTGTTTACGCTGCCACGAATTCCCCAGCCTGCAGCCAGCCAGCCCCGAGCGGGCCACGCGAAGGACGATGTTTTCCAGCCGCGCTGCAGCACGGGCTGTCACACCACGCTCCTGAACGTCCATCCCTGCGCAGCTGCAGAGCAGAGCGCTGAGGAGCTGCCGCGCTTGCAGAGGGACGGGTGCCTCTTCTGGCAGGGAGACGGGGGCTCAGCTCGCACGATCTCGCTTGCGGACTCTCGGGATCCCGAGCGGGCCACGCGAAGGACGATGTTTTCCAGCCGCGCTGCAGCACGGGCTGTCACACCACGCTCCTGAACGTCCATCCCTGCGCAGCTGCAGAGCAGAGCGCTGAGGAGCTGCCGCGCTTGCAGAGGGACGGGTGCCTCTTCTGGCAGGGAGACGGGGGCTCAGCTCGCACGATCTCGCTTGCGGACTCTCGGGATCAGTGGTCCCATCCCTCTGGCCCAGGAGTGCTGCTCCGCTGCCACCAAAGAGCTGGGCTTGTTAAACAAACCTTGCAAGAACTGGTTCTGAGGTGAGTGGGTTTGCAGCAACCTCCCAGCCTGGGGAGCCCTCCCCATCGATCAATTTGTGTATGAAAACATCAAAATGTGGAAGGCAGAGCGCCAGCAGAGCCCGCTGGGAAGCTACCGCACACTGACATCTTCTACAGAATTCGCACACTGGGTCAGGTCCCCCAGCACGCGCCCAGGGCTGCGGGGCTCCCGCCCCATCAGCAGCCCCACACAAACCTGCAGCCCCACACAGCTCCTCGCAGGAGGAGGTGGGATGGCGAGACCCCGCCACCGTGCCACGGGCCCGGGCTTTGCTCTGCTGCTGCCCTGCACCTCCCCTGGGAGCTGCTGGCAGGGAGAGCCGCTGCCCGCGCTGCCCGGCCCCACGGAGCGCAGCCCTACGCTCATGCAAGGGCTCCGCAGGGCCAGGCCAGACACTGCTAGCTCAAAAAAAGCAGCAAAGGCTCATTTCTTTTCCCTTTCCCCCTCACGTGGTCTCCTGTGGTGCCCGCCCAGCTTTCCGGTATACCCAGCATTTTGCTGGTGAGAGGCTGGTGCCATCCCTGGCAGGGGCTGCAGGAGCTCAGCCCCCCACAGCAGAAGCTGCAGCTGGAGCAGCGGCGATGAGCGCCGAAATAAAGCTCCTTCCACCCTGCAGCCTCGGAAAGCTAACGACCCGGAGCCTGCAGGCAGCAGGACTGCGACACAGAGCACTGCAGCCCTCCCTCCCTGGAGGCAGACACCCTCGTTGTGCCTCGTGCCACGTCGCAGGTCCCCAAGGAGCCACCAGTAGCAGAAGCCACTCAAGCCAAACAACCCAGCTATGCAAACCCCTCTCGCTGGTCTTTATTGCCACCGGTAAATCCCTGCAGCATCTCCTCCCTGGTACTTGTACCGTGGTGGCATCTCCTGTCTGAGCTGCTTAGCACCTTCTCTTAAATACAAGAAAACTCAGAGGCAGGAATTTTGTCCCCGTTGCTGGAAATGCCAGCAAAGCTCGGGGCTCTGCCCTGCAGCAGCGCAACCCTCGAGCCCTGCCGCGCTCTCTGACCGCTCAAACCAGCGCAGGGCGCCCAGGAGAGCGAGCAAGGGAGCTCCCTGCGAGGCATCGGAGAGTCCCGACACCCCTCGGGGTGTTCCCCCCTGGGACGCGCCTATGGGTAACGCACCCCAAGACGCTGGGAGATGCGTGGGATGACGGGCCACGTCACGTCGCCAGCTTTAGCGACAGCTGAACTCAAGCCAGCTCCTCGGGAGCAGGGTGTGCTGACTCCGAAGGCAGAGACCCCAACGCTGAGCCCACGCTGCTGCTCCCGACGCGACTCCAGAGAGGACAAACATCGTCACGGAAGAACAAAAACAACTCGCCGAGCACGCTGCGGGAGAACTCACCCACGACCATGATGTTGAACTCGAACCCCTGCTTCATGGCTTTCCGTCTCATCTGCTCCAGGATGGCGTCTATCCCCACGTAGCCGAAGTCCGCAGCCGGTTTCTCCGGC